CTTTGCTTATGATGCCATTCTTATAAACAACATAATAATATGTTTTTGGCATAAATAAATAAAAATTTATTTATCCTTAGAGTACAAACTTACGAGATATTCTCCTAGAATCTGTTAATTGTTTAAGAGTAGATCACTCTACTAAGCTTGATGAAGACAAATGTACTATGAATTGATAAAATAATAGTGCCAAATGATTATTCAGTAATAAATTAAGACCTTGAGATAATTTTACTCAATCCTCTAACCGAGCTCTTTGAGTTTATTTTCGAAGAAGTTGATCATAAGAAATCTGTCTTTCATAGATTATGAAGGACTTTTCATTTAAACAGGAAGTACTCTGTCATTTTTGGTAATACAATAATTTCAATGACTCTTCACGATTCTTAATATATTAAATTCATTACAAAATATTACATTTATATCTAAATGTGTGAAAGTACGCACGTATATTAATTTTTTAAAAAATTACAAATTTCTCAATCATTCTTCATAATTCTTAAAATATTTTCGTTGTATCTAAATGTTGGAAACCACGTATATTTAACTTTTTAAGAAATTACAAATTATGAATCCTATATAACTTTAATTACTCTTCATAATTCGTATATTGAGGGAAAAATTTACAGATAATACAACTAAAACAATAGAAGGAAAATTCTACTTCTTTTTTTTTTTTCTACTGAAATTTCAATTAATTTTTTTAAAAAATAAATTTATATATTTATTAATTAAATAATAAATATATATTAATTACAATATAAATAAAAATTCGTACATGAAAATATAATGAATTGATAAGGAGAATATTAATGCTCTGTGCATTTTAGCTGGGGGAACATCGACCGTACATCTGCCGAGACGAGGACTTGACAGTTGAATTCAAAAACCGAGCCTAGTGAAGCGTGGTGCACGTGATCCTTGCCTCAGAATGGAATGTGGAAGGTGTAGGTACGCGCAGAGAGAGAGCGTGGGAGTGGAACGTTTAGTGTCTCAGCGGTGGAAGTCTCACATCTAGATGTGAATTGATAACGATCTTCATTTAACTAAATTGGAATGTGAACTTGGGGTCCGGACGTGAGGAAGACATTTAAAAAATAATAATAATTTTTAAAGAAATAAAATAATTAATTTCGTAAAATAAGTAAATTAATTAAATATTTAATTAAAAAACTGCAAAAACTCTTCCTCTTTGCATTAATTATATGAATATAAATAATATAAAAAATAAGACTTACAGTTTATATGGTAAAATAATAATAATAATAATAATACTGTAAATAAAATTAAGTAAATTTATGAACATATAATAAAATACATGAAGCATATTATTATTTAAAAAGTTATACTACGTGGTCACATTAACCGTCACGTGAAATATATATAAATATAGTTAGAAGACATTAATAAAAAAAATTCATATTCTACGTAGATTAAAGTAAGATCAAGTACAATGTAAAATATATAAAATATCACGCACAATATATATATATATATATATTTAAATACATATTTTTTAAAAAATAAATGAAAATATGATATAAATTAAAGTAAAATAATTTTTTTTTCTAATAATTATTAGACATGAGATCATTAAAGGATATATAATAATTACTTTTAGTTATAACACTAATTGTTCTAGAGTTAGTACAAATAAATCATTAAATTAACTATTAAATATATTAATGTACATTCATTGAATCATATTAATTAAATTACAGAATTAATCAAATAATTAAGTTAATTTTGCATTTTACGTTAAAGCGAAGAGAATCAGAGACCGCGAGAAAAGCCAACTGTCACGAAAAGAATTACGTTAAAGTGAAGAGAATCACGTAAACATTTTAATACTCCAAACATAATCCAGGTTTTGGTTTGCAGACGACGTGGTCCGTTAATAACCAGCAGTTTAGTTTCCTAAAAGAATATTAAACAACTACAAATTAGGAAACCAAAATGCTAATTATCTGTTACCTTTTTATTATAACGCCACGTGGACGAATCAGAGAACAAAGAGAACCTGAACACGTAATTGCCTCCGTGGTTGGCCATTATTGGTATCGTAACCAAATCGTACGGATCCAATCAGACACTTTCTACTTATAAACATATATGAAACTCGCTTTTAAAAAATTTTTAAATACGAATTTATATATTTTATTAATTATTTACATATTTAGTAAGAATTTTTTAACAAAATAATTTAAAAAAAAAACAGTAATTTAGTCTATTTCAATCCCAATCGGGAATTCGTATTTCTTTCTTTGTTCTTTTTTCAATCTAGTCAATATGATTTAAGTACATAATTGACAATGCATGTGTTGTACTACTTATAGTAAAATAAATATGAATTTATTTATCTTCCCCATTATTTCACGAGATGGAAAAGTTAGAGAGAAACTTTCAAACTGCATTTTGTAAGAAAGGAAAAATCAAACTAGCTACGTAGCTTATAAATTCATGACACGCCAAATACATCTATAAAAGGACATGCTTATCCACTCAACACAAAAACTATAAACGTTGAAGAAGAAAGAAAAAAAAAAAAAAAGGAAAGAAGAAAGGTTGAAGCTTGAATATTTCAGGTTGAGTTTACTAAGTTCGGACAGTTTGGAGAAACTGAGGAGATCAGAAACATGGAGATGAAGATAGTGTTGGTAGCAGCTCTATCACTAGCTTTAATGGCGGCTATCTCTCGCCCCAACATCTTTGGAGCTCCAAACATAAAGGGTTCTAAAGACGTTCTTGGCAACTCCAAAGTTCTTAACCTCTCCTTGGCAGGAGCTCTCGCCGGAGAAAGTCTCGACTTTGATCCCAACGGTGAAGGACCCTACACCGGCGTCGCCGACGGCCGGGTCCTCAAATGGCAAAACGACTCTCATGGCTGGACCGAATTTGCCACCACCACAACTAACAGGTATATAAATATTTATACACGTATTATGGTACCCATTTACTAAAATCTACTTTGCAGAGTATTATTATTACATATATATATATATATATGTATATATGTGCTAATAATTAAGGACCGACTTGAATGGTTTATAAGGTTGGGGTGCTATAGACCAACACGACCCCGTTTAGAGGAAGTATGTGGGAGGCCATTGGGTATAATGTTCGAGCAGAAGAGTGGAGATTTGTATATTGATGATTGTTATTTAGGATTGATGGTGGCCGGACCTGAAGGAGGTTTAGCTGAACAAATCTCCATTGAAGCTGATGGTCGCCTCATTTTCTTCACCAACCACATGGACATTGACGAGGAAGAAGACATAATTTACTTCACAGACAGTAGCATATTTTACCAAATCAGGTAACCATAATTCTTTCTTCATCGTCTGATTAAATAAAAAACCATCTGATTAAATCATCGTTAAAAAAATTTGCAGAACATACATGACGATGATCCTGTCGGGAGACAGGACGGGGAGGTTTCTGAAATACGAAAAGAACACAAAAAACACGACAGTTTTATTAACAGGTCTTGCGTTTCCAAACGGCGTCGCATTGAGTAAAGACAAGTCATTTGTGTTGGTAGCTGAACCCACCCGGTTCAGGATTTTAAGGTACTGGCTTAGTGGACCCAAAGCCGGATCGTCGGAAGTGTTCGCCGAAACTCCCGGCGCCGTCGACAACATTCGGAGAAACGAAAAGGGCGAATTCTGGTGCGCCATGTACACGAAAAAAACCTTCTTTTCCTACTTTGGGTTTACTTATCCATGGTTCGGGAAAGCAATTTTGAAGCTTTTCACTTTCGATCAGCTGAACACGCTGCTTCTGGGAGGGAAACCCTATTATGGGATTGTGATTAAGCTGAGCGAAAATGGCGAGCTTCTTGAAGTTTTGGAAGATTCTAAGGGGAAGAAAGTGACGTTTATAAGTGAAGCGAGGGAGAGAGATGGGAAACTTTGGCTTGGATCTATAGCCACACCTCATATTGGTGTTTATGATCTGAGCCAATTACGTTGATAGATTCCTAGATTGTATAAATGTTTTTGCTTTCCGATTTTCTTCTCGTTGCAGTTTCTGATGTTGTATGGGGTTTATGTTCTCGAGTGTGTATATGCATGCATTCGTTTGTTAATGGCATTGAATGCAAAATAAAGTTTCTTAATTATGTTTTGAAATATGATTATATGATTAATGCTGCAAGTTAATTAAGTAAATTACTGGTCCTCCTTAGTAATGATTTAATTACTTTCACAATTTTCATCACGCACCGTACAATTCGATTACTCTATCATATCTTTCTGAGGACGAATTAAATATGTTGTATATATATTTTAAATTAATTTGTATAGGTTGATGTCAACTTTCTCAGTTATAACTTTCACGTGAGTCATGAAATCATCTCCTCTACACCCAGGAGAGAAGAAAAAGAACTTATTCCTCAGCTGCTTTGTTATTTTGCTATGTCAACGTCATATAAGCTCCAGAGAACTCTTAAAAAGCTGCAGTATAGGAGGATGGTGAGGAGCTCCATGGAAGATATTAGTAGATAAACTTTTGCTATCAACTTCTTTCTCTTCTTCCTCCTCTTCTTCCTCAGCATCCCAAAGAAATTTAGCATATGAAGCTAGGATATAGCTGCAAAAAAAGATTTGCATGGTGAAAGGTTTAGCTAGGACACATGAATTTCTCAAATAATTGACTGTAAACAAAATGGTGAAAGTTTAGCTTATAAAAATTTTATTTTTATGCCAATTTATAGTGATTTACATGCACAAAGTTGCAGCTTTTGTTATTCCAAGAACACCATTCAACAATTTCAAGCTATCATTATATTTAAAATTTTAAAAGACCCACTTCAAAAAATGAATCGAAAATCAACTTGACTGATTGAATGTGCACTTAACATGACCTGGGAGAGCTACTTCCAAGAACACCATTCAACAATTTCAAGCTACTATTATCTTTAAAAGACCCACTTCAAAAGATGAGTCGAAAATCAAATTTTTTTTTATTGAATCCGCATTTAACATGACCTGGAGAGGTACTACTAATACATAAAAAAAAAATCCATATCCCAATTGGTAAGGCATCAAGAGAAACAAGAACTGCTTGCTTGCAGTAATTGGAAATGAAATAAAGGAAGCTAGAATGCAATCCAAATCTATCAAGCAAGAAATCATAAATGCAAATCTAATGAATAGGAGCTTTGAAGATTACCAATCATCTGGGTCAGTTTTAACAGCTTGATCAAAATAACACTCAGCTCTTTGAGCATCTTTCTGGTTTTGCCAGATAAGATCAGCAAAAACAGACAGTACGCTCCCATCACTTGGATTAGCCAAAATTGCTCTTCCACAGTACTCCTCTGCTTTGCCAAAATCTCCTCTTACCTATTTCTCAATTTTAATTTAAAAAGAATGGTCGAGAATGTTCTAACCAATTAATAACAAATCAAAAGAGGAAGATTAATATTCCTAATTTGGGTACTCGCCTCTTTCAAGAAGTTGGCATAGTTCCCGAGCAGAAGAGCATTGCCAGGGTTTGCCTCAATCATGCACTGGTAATATGCATCAGTACTATCACTCTCATGGTTACTTCTCCCAGAAAAGCCTGACCCACCAGCACAATGACCGCCACCGTCTGATCCTCCTCCACCACCATAAATCCTCCCATCATTTTTTCCAAACCCACCGTCACTCACCAACAGTCTCTGAACATCAGATCCCTCATTATCACCGTCCACAACGATTTCTCCCAACCCAGAACTTGGAAACAGTCTCTCAGCTGAAGAAAAAGATGATAATACTGAACTGGGTTTTGGTTCACCATCTCCCATCTGTTGTTGGTTCAGCAGGGGAGGTGGTACAGTGGGTTTCTTCTTCTTCCTGGATTTAGGTTTATCTTTTCGGATATGGGGTTCTGACAAGGCCTGGTTTGTCAGCTTCTTGGTTGGGTAGTCGGAGGGAGAGTGAAGTGAGTTTGAGAAGCAGAAGGATCTGGTTCTGGGGACAACTTTGAGGTCCGGGTCTGGTGAAGAGTCGAGCTTGGAGCAGTGACGTAGCCATGAGTTGAGAATTGGTGTGGGTGAGCTTCTTAGTAGCATCTTCATTATGGTTTTGCAGAGCGAGATTCAGATAGAAGGTTGTAGAGAGATGGGTAGAAGAGAATTAGGAAGAGAACATTCATAAACATAGAAGAGATTTGACAAACTGATTCTGAGAGAATGTTTGGGGAGAGGAAAAGCCTGGGAGGGCTTATAGAATGAAGAAGAAAGAAGCATTTTATACGTCCTTGTGAAGGAAAAGGAAAGCAGATTTTTTTTAAGGTTAGTGGAAGATAACTAATATGATAGGAAAACTGTGCGACAAATTCTGAAACGAGTCAATGATATTTAAAGAATTTATT